GATCTTCTATGACACGTTAGCAAGGCGACTTTTCCTTGTTCGTCCTTTCCCATCGGTTATGTTAACGTTTGCTTATGAAAGACCTATCACTGCGCCATATTTAATTGTAGCAGTTTCCTTAACAGTTTTAATGAGAATTCAGCTTTACTTAGAGATTTACTATCGTCTACTTGCCAATGTTCACTTCCCCCGTTTGTTTACTGACCAGCTCGGCATGCTGCCACTGGTGACTTCAGCATTGTCCGTGACGTAACTCTGCGCCGCATTATGTCCAAGGGTACTAAATACCGAACTGCCGTAAGGCGCAAATTCGAAGAGGTCGTTCGTGATTTTTCATCAGCTCTGGCTAAGTTCATCCCTATGGTGGCACGAATTCACCACAGAGACGTTACGGATTATGACCGCTTTAAAGTTCGAATCCTTAGTATACTCGGAAGTCGGGGGTATCAATGTCACAGCAATGCGCTCCTCGCGTTTCCCGAACTTGATAGGGCACTGTGATTCCTGCACGGCCTTAACATTATCACTCCGGTAGATAAGGCTACATTTTCATTTGCAAAAAAATATTAGGCTGAATTGCTTTATCAGGAGCAAGGCTTCACCACTTCCGGTATGATACTAGGTAGCAGTGTCTACAGTCCGGTTGATACAGGCTGGGTTGAGCTCATTAATCAACATAAATCTTTGCTGGAAAGGTTTAAGCTACAAATTGAACATGACGATATCCGACTTCCCGCTTTACACGCCATTCCTAAGCTTCATAAGAATCCCTACAGATACCGTTTCATTGCGATGGCGCACCATTCCACACACCGACCTCTTGCGTCCACGGCTTACCGCATTTTGGATAACTTACGAACTCACTTCCGTAATTACTGCAATACAACTGTAAGGAACACCGGTAGGTAGGTTTACTTCAGTATCCGTAGTTCTTTGGATGTCGTTAGTAAGTTATCTGCTTTTAACGAAGACATCAGATATTTGTATAGTGCTGACTTAAGCAACTTATTAACTAGTTTACCGCATTCTGACATCCAAAGCTGCCTCACCTACCTGACTGATTTATGCTTTTCAAATTCTGGTAAAGATCTCCTGGTACCTTCTGGTACGAAATGCTGGTTTACAAGCGCACCACCCCTAAACAGTACCAATTACGCACTGAATGAGGCTAAGTCTATCATTTTTACGGCTCTTAATAAGGTTTATGTTCGCCTTGGAGGTGCTATCTTCCATCAAACTCGAAAGGTGCCTATCCTTGCAAAATTTTAGCACGGGAGCTTGCTTGGGTGCCGAGCTGAAATACCTGGACACACACACACACACACCGGGGTCGTCGCAATATGCGTTTTTGCATTTGCATACATGCAAAAACGCATAACTAGGTTTCTTTGCTTTCTTGAGACTTTATCAGTGCTTTTCTTCTAGCACTACAATCACTATTATCCTGCTTTTACATGCAAGCCTCATTAACGTGTTCGCACATTCGGTGTGGGCCTCACATAATGTGAAATGTTGCTTTCATTGTCAAAGGAAGCGCCCGTCCGACTGGTCGGCTACTTTAACTCCCATGGATCAAATGCACTTCATAAAGTAGCTCGGTCGCGTCCGAAATTTTTGGCAGCCTTTTTGCTAACAACACATTTACACAAATGAAACGTCTGGAGAGCAGAATTTTTCAGCAGTCTCAGCTCCCGTGGTTCCCTACCTCAATAGTGCGTAACGCCCGGCCAATCTATCTGCAGTTGAATTTATTTGTAGTGGTAGAAAATGCGTTGGGATCATACCGAAATTAACATTTATCTGTAACAGAAAACGATGACAACAACACATGGAAACAACAACTGAAGATGAAAATAACAGGTACAATCCTTGGGAAGACAAGTTTTCTGAATCTGAAATGAGCACACAAGACGATTTTAGCCAATAAACATCAACAATGCTTCTGTTTTGTCGAACTGATGTAGACTGCCAATGCATTTCACGCACTCCAAAAAGTCGTTTCCGTCTTGTACTACTTGGTGAGCTCGGGCTGATTGAAGCAGCTTTTCTAGTGGATTTCCACCATCAAATCAATCCAAATCAGAACCTCGTCCAACAATAACTGTTCGTGACCGAATGGTCAATTCGCAAAATATCTTCTTACTTTTGAATGCCTTCCAGGTGCGGCCGAATTTCCGAGTTTCTGAGCACTTCGGACTCACTGGGCGAAAAACTGTGCCACTGCTCTCCTCGATTAACGTGCAGCATCAATTCATTTAATACTCACGTGTGACATAAGTGAAGCCTGTTATGATGAGCTTTTCATCTTCCTCTAATCAAATTTAGGTCGTCTGGCGAGAGCCCGCAGCACAGAGGTGTCTCACTGTGCATTTTCACGACTGCACCTCTACTTCGACTGAAACCAGAGATACTTCCAAAGCGACGTGCTATCGCAAAACCAAGCCCATATAAGTCTCCGTTCCGTGAAGCCTGCGACAAAATTGATCTGCTTTAGTTCACCAAGAATAACAATATGACCCTGTTTGACGCAGTTTTGTTGCTTTGCAAGAACTTCTGTCTTCCTCTGTCGATAGTACCAGATCTGGATCGTCGGGCGGGAATCCGCCTTGTCACTGAATCGCCAATCCAGACCCGCTTGCAGTTGCACTGTCTTCGGTTTGCCAGCTGGCTGCATGATTGTTTCTATTTTACCGATGCCCCCAGCCAAGCGAGAGTCCCGTGATTTTCGCGAAGTGAACCCGTAGTTTTCTTGGTTTCTCCACCTTCGCTCCGCTTCTGTTGTAGACGTCACAACCAACGGCCCAGTAATCCGTCTCGAACATGTTGCCGTATTTGCGCGAACGTCCGGCCACGGGTTTTTGAAACTGCCGTGCCTGCGCCGCGCCCAAAGAACATTTAGCTGTGGCAGGCCCTACAGCCAGTCAGCAATCATCCCAGACCATACAATGCTTATTCGCTGAAATCCCTTTCCTTTTATAGTTTGTTGAAAATACGTAAAAGATAATTTGCCAAAGTCTCTACACATATACTGCCGAAATCCAATTGGCTCCTTGGAATATTCAAATTTGGCAAATTCTCATGAATTATATAAGCTTGCCGTTGCTCGGCCGCTAATTGGATCCTGATTGTTTGTAGTAATCGTGGTTACTTTGGTTACCTTGGCACATATGGATATTTTTGCAAATAAATCAGCACGCACCAGCATGGCCGGTGCATGCCGATTGCACACTTCTACCCGGCGGGTGGTTGCTGTTAAAAGTATTCACTACCTTTCAGCTTGGTAATGAGCGAAAGTATGAAATTGCATGTGTTCATACGTAAAGCGCAGGCGTTTTAGGTTCAAAAAGGATAAAAACGTCCTACCAAGGATTTTAGCTTTCTGTTTTTTCTAGTTCCCGGACTAAAAATTTCCCGTCTAAAATCCCTCCTTGCCCGTACCGAGAAATAAGCGTGCATTAAAGCTGAATTTGAAATTCCAGGGTTGTACATTCAGAGGAAGCATCACAGCAAATTTTCCACCTTGCCGGTTCTCAAAGCGGAAAATTTTACACCAAAATTTTTATGTGTCTGTGCCTGAGGCTTAGGCGTAAGTAGGAGCTAAATATAACTGTTTAACATCGGACACAGGCTTAGAATATTACCTCAAAGTTTCAGCTTCTTAGCTTTTATGGTTCCCGAGTTACTAATTTTGGCGCCAAAAATTTCACGCGCTCGTAAGTGCGGTCGAGGCGCATGCGAGAGTTGAGTTTAAGCTTAGAAGATCACACGCAAGTAAGGGACATTCCCTTCAAATTTCAGCTCCCTGACTTCTCCGGTTTCCGAGTTATTGATCTTGGCGCTAAGGCTTTGACATGGCCGCATTTAAGACTTAGAAGTATGTAAAAACTATAATTGAATTTGCGGAGTCACATTTGGGCGGAAGACAATCTCATAAAACTTCAGCCTTCTAGAGCTTTTGTGGTTCCTGAGTTGAAAAGTACAGAAAATACACTCGGGCACACACTCAGACAGAGACAGTGAGTTTCGTGTAGTTGTAGCACAGCACAAAATACATAAATACTGGTTGCCTTTGACTAGTACAGCAAATGGAGCCAAATGCAATGGAATAGGCCTGTAGAATGTTCTAGTAAGACTCACATAATACTGCACCGGTTCAATGCTATTGGAAATGCGTGTTACACTAACACACGTATGCTAGTCCGGTCCAGTACACCACTGCTTACAGACCTATCCATTCACCGTTTCTTATCATAACCAGGTACTTCCTTCTTGTATCAAGGACTCAGAATGGCTATAGTCATCTCGCGTTTTTCCTTTATTTTTCATCAGTTATTC